AGTTAAAGCTATTATAAAATAAATGTCAGGTTCTTTAGAGTAGAAAATTGTCATGGGTAGTTTTCAAATTCACATTCCCCACCCTCCAACTACCTTAAAGAATAAAGAAATATAAAGGGATGTGTACCATGAATAGTGAGCAGCAGGTACCTGACTGGAATTTGTGTATTCAGGGAAAAGTAGTACTTCTGGAAGAATACCAGCCATGGAACGAGATGATAAAAGAGTCTCGATTTCCAATTCTACGGTAAGCTGTGTAGTTAAATGGACTTCCATCTTATTTTTGATTAATCTCATCGACTTTTAAAGTTCTGTTTTCTGATATTCTTTGATGGTACAGCAATCCTATTTAAATGGAGAACTGCATGTTGATGTACATCTTTTTTTGCAGGATATCAATGACCAACCACCAAATCCTTATCAGCCTGTACCAAATCCTCGTTTTGGTCCAAAGCCTAAGGTCTTTCTCCTCCAATTTTTGTTCTACCTACAGTATTGGGATTGATAGAGTTTTATTTTTCCGCAGATAATACTTAGAAATTCTTTGTCTGAACCTATATCCTTTAATTCTAAATTAATGCTGTGCGTATTTGTTTTGGGTCTGCTGGCTCCATTTTCTGAAGTCAGTGTGCAGCCTGTTTTTGGACAACATGACAAACTTTAGACACCATCCTTCCACTCGAAAACTTCCTTCTGGTAGCTCAAGCCTAAAGCATTAAATGTAATAATCCTTAACTGATGTTTTTGCTAATTATTGACTGCATTTGATGTTTATGGAGTATGTGCATCATTGTATGGATTCTTATACAACTGTCACTTTGATTTGGATAACAAAGTTATGGTTTCATCTCTTTGTGATAAGACCTTTCTATTTGATGTATTTTCCTTTGCCTTCTCTGTTGATGTGAGAGAACTTGGGTGAGGTAGGGTGGAGTCAATCTGAATCATTTGTTTGAATTTGAAATGATTTTATTATGTGATCGTGAACAGCCTTGGGAAATTGGCCAAAATCAGAACAGTTCAAGGAGTTTCTTTCAATCCCAAGGGAGTGGTGATGGCTTAAATTATGAGTATCAAGACAGTTCAACGCCTTGGTGGCAACGCAAGAGTGGCAGAATAACAGTAACCGAAGCTGAAAACGAAGAGAAGTTTGGATATACTGCTGCACCAACTGAAGTACGACCAGTTCAGCGATCATGGGTTCCTCCCCAGCCACCTCCAGTTGCAATGGCAGAAGCAGCTGCTGCCATCCGTCAACCTAAGAAGTCTTTGTTACAGAAAGAAAAGCTAACCAGTGATGAGTTAAGGGCTAGTTCCTCAGAAATGTCAGATGATGACTTGCAGAGGATTACAAAAATCTCCGAATCAGGTGGTCTCACCGAAACTAATAGGTCAGGTTTTGGGCAACAGTTGAGTGGAACACCTATTACAAATGGTGACAATGTCTTGAACAGCTGAAGTTTCTCTTGTTCTACCTATCCTAAGGTTTGCTTTTTTGGTCTTGAGGTGATTTATCACAATCTTGTAAGGTACATTTTGTCGATGAACTCGAATTTCTGATGTTTCCTTTGTGCTTCTAGGTTGAAATTTAGAATTACACTTCTTAAACTTGGCTCTTATGTGAAAAGATTACTGTCTATACCAAAAGCTTATTTGCAGAGGAGCTAAATTGTTTTTCACTAATTGTTTGAAAGCACTGATTTTCTGTTTGTGTATCTTGCTGTATCCAATAAGCTCCCAAAAAAATAAAATAATATTGTGTACGTTATTTTTTAAATTTTTTGACTTATTTCTGGAAGATAATGTTATGTTGGTGATCATTAGTGATATTGTGGATGCTATGTGGCGAATGAAAGGAAGACACGTGTATTGTCTCTATATATTAAATATAATTTAGAGTAATCATTACCTAAAAAGATGCATAATTACTAGTAATGTGTTTAAGTGAGTGATCCATTAGTCATTTGAGTGGGACATTTGCCTAATTGCATTAAATTTTCAATAAACAAGAAAAAATGTGTTTCTCAATTTTGTGTACCCAATTCGTGTCCCATCAACCCCACCCTACTGCGCGATTGAAAGTATTTTATAATCATTCATTAAAGCGTAGTTAGATATTTTAAAGTGAGATTAATTTTAGTGTAGTAATAATTTCACAATTAAACTCTTTCATTATTTGGATGGGCAAGTATCGTGTAGGAAACTTGTTCATTTTTCTAGGTTAGAAGAATTTCAATGTATAGAGATATCTTTCCGGTTCAAAAAGGAGAAAAAAATATGCATGTTTTCTTGTTTTATTTTTATATATACATTTAAAATTTAGATATTCCAAAACTCTACAAATAAGCATTTCTATAAGTTCATAAAATTTAATTATGGAAAAGTGAAATATGACAACTAATTCAAGACATAAAAAATAGTGATTAACGATGATGAACATGATAATTAACCATAAAAAAAAAGATTTGAATCAACCAAATTTATTGATTATTTTAGACTTTTAGTATGTTTTGAATAATTTCATATAATTTAAATCTGAAAAAGTGATATATGACAACTAATTCAAGACAAAAAATAGTGATTAACGATGATGAACATGATAATTAACCATAAAAAATGAAGGTTTGAATTAACCAAATTTACCGATTATTTTAGACTTTTAGTATGTTCTGAACAAACCAATATATTCCCCCTTTTGTTTTTTCTCTCATTAAAGGTTGTTGAATTATTCTCTCTTGTTTAGTGCACACATATATTAGGCAATTTAGGTTACATAATTTTATACGTATATTACTTACATCAATTAATTAGAATTAGAATATGAGCTTACCACCCAACATTCCTAAACTATTAAAACAAAAATAGACCTTTGATATTGCTATCTGAGGCCTGCATCACACCCGTATTTACCCCTCCGATCATATAATTTATCAATATGATCGAAATATTATCATTTAAATATTTTAGTTGCATACGTTAGTGCAAGAAATAGCTAAATAGGTATTTGGTATCGAACATCGTAGGAAAAGTTATCCGAGGAAATAATTTTTTTTTTATCCTCTTATAATTTAAAAATTATTTTCTTCTATTTAAATCTTAAGAGAACAAAAAATTTCATTTCTTCGAATAACTTTCCCTAGAGCGTTCAACACCAAACACCTATTTAGTTATTTCTTGCACTAACTTATTGTTTTTACTTGTATAGACCAAGAATACAATTTTGACTTTGTCTCTTCAAAATAAGAAAAAAGAGCAAAAATCTAAATGCTTATATGCTCACATAATATATTTAATTAAACAAAGGAGATCATCAAAAGAGCTTTTTTTAGTGAATAATTAAGTACGATTTAGACCTCTTTATCAAGAGAAAATCTTCACTTTAGTAAAGGTGCTTTTACACGTTGCTACTCCTATTTAGTTATATTATATTCAATAATTAGATAACATTTAAAATAAATATAAAGCTTATCACACCCCCAAGATGAAATAAAATATAATGCATTTGACTATCTAGATGGGGAATCTTCTAATAGAATGGCAAATTAATTCTTAATTAGTACCTTAGATAAACATAATTATACATAGCGTGATTGAGGAAAAACCAAAGAAATAAAGTAATAAATTAATAAAGTTTAAGAATATAATTAAATTAGCTTCGATAAATATAGCATATACAGTCCATTAGATGTGAATGATTCTCAATTCGTCGTCATGCTTCCTTGTGTCCCCTTTTAATCCTCCACCGCCGGCATCTTATGGATATTATTCCATATAATCTTACTACTATTTTATATATACGCGACGATATAATCAGAATTCATATTAAAATAAATTAAATATGTAAATAGTAAAAATATAAAAATTTAATATTTATAATTTTTCGATGAACGTGCTTTGGCTTTCTTCTACCTATATGATTGTGTAAGGCAATACTTACTAATTCTCTCTATCAATTTACAAATTTAGTGTTAGAACATAAATTGATGTCAGATCTAAAATAAAAATAATATGATATAAGTATATTATAATATTTTGTGTATAATCAATCTATTTTAATCATTAATACTTTTATTTCTTGATAGAAGTTTTAGATTTATCAATATAAAAAGGAGGCGGTGATTTTTATTATATAAACAAAGAAGATGAATTTGTTGAGGCCTTTAGACATGGTCCATTTGATCATGAACTTATAAAGTTTAATTAACCACTAATCCATGAAAAGGCAATGAATAGCTACGAATTTATTTACTTTGGGTAACATTTTTGACTTTTAAGAAAATATTTATCACGTGAAACTTAGATAAGAGACTAAAAGGGCATCTATATATTAAATTTCGAGACTATTATTACTTTACCTGAAACAAAAAAAACATGATTGTAAAAATCTAAAGTCAAAGAAAATTAATAATTTTGAGTTTTTTCTTCAATTATAACATGACTATATGGTACTATAACTTTCAAAAATTTAATCGTATTTGAGCGATACAAATTAATAATGATTAATGAATATGATACTTTCTTCGTTCAATTTAAAAGTTATATTACATTTTTCGAAAGTTAATTTACTATATTTTTAAAATTAAATTAGATTACGTTAGTTTAATATTTTAAAAATATTTTTAAAAATTATAAAAATACAATAAATTAAACTTTTTGAATATCAATATGCTAAATATTAATCAAAATTTTATTATTTAATCCTTAAAAAAAATCGTAACCACTAAAAAGACACGGAATGAATACTTTTCTTTTATCGAACTAACACTTTTACAAATTTTAATAATTTGTATTAACATATATATACTTTTCTACCGAAAGTTTTTGTGGAAGTATTTCCATTTTAAACATGTATAAAAGTTAAGAGTTCCCTTCTATTTTATAGTACTAAATTTTTAGCCAACTTCTTTTTATTTTTTGGACTATAAGAGAGGTATTTGTGCATCCTTCATGCCAGCCACATATTAATCCCAAATAACTTACATTAGCCACAACGAGACACATAGCCCCCCATCTCTCTCTCTCACAATTGCTAGAGAGTTACACTTAGGATTGCTGTCAACAATTTACAACCTTTTTGTTTATACAGAAAAGCTGAATTTCATTTCCAATTTACCTGGTAGTTGGAGTAATCAATAGGAATTGAAAATGGCCCTCAATTTGCTTTCTCCTGCTGAAATTAAGTCAATCTCTTTCTTGGACAATTCAAAGTCCAGCTACAATCTTAGCCATCTTAAGTTTACAGGTTCTTTATTTCTAAACCCCATGTAGAGAGTTTCTTGATTTGGATAACTTTCTTGAAAGTTTTTATCTTTTGTGTTGTTTTCTTCAATTTTGAGTTGTGGGGTGGTTAAAGATTATCTTTTTCCCCTTTTTTTTTGCTGCAAGAATCGTTTTTTAAACTTCTAGTATGATTTTGACTGATTTGGGGTTGAAGGGTGTTGTGATTTTTCTTGATTTAGGTGGACTGTCTATCAGAAGAAAGGAGTGCAGTGGGGCATTTGCTAAGAGAGTTCAGTGTTCAGCACAGCCGCCGCCACCTCCTGCCTGGCCTGGAAGGGCTGTTGCTGAGCCAGGAAGGCAGAGTTGGGATGGTCCAAAGCCTATCTCAATTGTTGGGTCGACTGGCTCTATAGGAACTCAGGTTGGTAAATTTTGGAATGGGCTAAAAGACTTACTGAAATTGTGTTTTCAGTCTTGATTGGCTCTGGCTTGAAGTTGGGATAAAGTACTAGTAGAAATTTTTATAGCTTTAGGTGTTAGTTACTTGCAGTTACAGTGTCAACTAAAATTTCAACTGTTTCCTCTAAAAGAGGATGACGAGATTCAAATTTACCTAGATTCCATTCTGCATCTTTTCTATCTGTTCTTTATTATTAGTGGTGTGCTGCTTTCGCTACTGTGCCAATTATGCCAGTTGTCTTTTGCTTCTTTTTTTTTCTTTCTTTTTCTTTTTGTATTGTTTGCGTGAATGAAATTCGAGTTAGTATAGGTTGCTTGGTATTTGAGAGAATCAAAATTTTGTTTTGATTCTCTACTTTTTTTATACTAGTATACAGGAAGTCCTTCCAATAAATCAATGCAAATTATTACTTTTACAACAAAAAAAAAAGGCGGTTGTCTTTTGCTTAAGTACTTCGTTGCTTCAATTCAAAGTTTGTTTCTGCAGACACTGGATATAGTCGCTGAGAATCCGGACAAGTTTAGAGTTGTTGCACTTGCTGCTGGTTCAAATGTGACTCTTCTTGCTGATCAGGTTAGTATTTGTTTACTACATGTAAGTGGAAAGGAACATGAAATGTCAAGTCTGAATAGAATAGACATCCAACCTCTCAGCTTGCTTTGTTATCTGTATCTCTGCATTAAAATCTTGAGGCATTATATGGTCTGCTGTCAATAACACGACTGGTGTTGTTTAAAGATATGATAATTATTCAATTATAAAATGGTTCCTCCTATACCACCCACTGATTTCCTGCCCTTCCCATGCTACAAGCCTAGACGTGTCATGTTTGCAGTACTTTAATTGACACATCGCATTAACCATGTTGAAACACAAATAGCAGGGCCCGATTATTACCATGTTTTTTCCTAATTTGGTTTTGGATGATCCACTCAAGAGAATGGTGAAAATCACTCAAGCTCGTTTTATATCATATGCTATTTACATTTTGTATCCGCAATTCGCACGAGTGTGGTGGAAATATTGGTTCCTCAACATGGATACCCCGACTAGATCAAGCTTCTGTTGTCAGACTCTCTTATCTGTCAAGGTGTAGTTTGGTCTTTGGCTCTGATGATAAACTTCATTATCTCCGAGTAGGTCAAAACATTCAGGCCAAAATTAGTTGCTGTAAGAAATGAATCATTGGTTGAAGAACTCAAAGATGCTCTTGCTGATATGGAAGACAAGCCTGAGATTATACCTGGGGAGCAGGGTGTGATTGAGGTTTGTCCAACTGTCCCTAACTTTTTTCCTTAGCGAGTTGAAGTTCATTTTACTTGTTGGTAATTACTTTTTGACCTTTGAAAGAAATATGTTAATTATTGTTGTCTTTGATGTATTTCAGGTTGCCCGCCATCCTGATGCTGTCACTGTAGTTACAGGAATAGTTGGCTGCGCAGGTTTGAAGGTGAGGTTGAGGTTTTAGTCTATCTGAATCATTGCGAAATTATGGTGACACTTCTTCCAAGATATCCTTATAAATATCCATTTTAAAAAGCTAAGTGGGAGTGAAGAGTGCTGAGAGGGCGAAAAGTGATTTATTTTCCTTTTTTGTGGGGTGGGGGTGGGTGGGAAGGAGGACTGAATGGTTGTCCTTTGGAGGGAGCTGTAGAAAAGCCACACCCGCTTAAGTTATTACCAGATATCAACTAGAAGGTTTCTCCAAGTCGCTTAAAGGCTTTATAATGGCAGTGCTGGAAAGACTTCGGATTTTACCCCACAATGAAGCAAAAAGGCCTTCTATCTGTCCATGTTAGGAGATAATAATACATTCAGCTAACTCTTGATTCTTTTGGAGATATAAATGCACACAACTCCAATCACCTAGAAACAAAAATACTTCTTCAACAGCTAAAAGTAGCATTGTGTGCTAGTTTAAGTTGTTACTGAAAAAAAATGTTGGTCATTGCTCCTTGCTGTGCTCTTTGATAAAGCATCTTTGTTTTTCTTTCTTGGCTAATATATAACTGATGAATCTTCCAAGAAAAAATGTGTATCACTTAGAAGATGTTCTCAAATTTGTTAGTCTTGGTTTGCTTCACTAGCCTACAGTGGCTGCCATCGAAGCAGGAAAAGACATTGCTTTGGCCAATAAAGAGACTTTAATTGCTGGTGGTCCATTTGTCCTTCCTCTTGCACACAAGCATAAAGTGAAGATTCTTCCTGCAGATTCAGAACATTCAGCTATATTCCAGGTACAGTTCTATGAGACTGAGATTGTCTTAAGATCTTTCTGCAGAACTTACAAGTATGATCATTTGTACATGTACATCATGCACCTCCTATTAGCCTTCTGTTCTGCATTGATGAATGTCCAATGTAAATTTCCACCCCTGGTTCTTTAAGGCTAAGAGAGAAATATTTTATTTTATTTTTGGTTTCAGTGCATACAAGGCTTGCCAGAGGGTGCCCTTAGGCGCATTATATTAACTGCATCTGGAGGGGCTTTCAGGTGTAAAATCTTGAACATTGATTGAATACTATAATTCGTTCTATATCTTAGTTTTAATCCTCATATTGCAGCATTCATTTCAATCTGCAACCCCAAAGAATTTGAATTCATTCTGTTGTCCTCCTTTCTTTAATTGAATCAGTTACTCGGAATGTTTTGCCTACTTCTTTTTATCTTAAGTGACAATTATCAGAAAATGTTGTTTTCTTATGTCCCTTATTTTGTATTTATCCACCAAATGATCACCACATGTACCCTAAAAATATTCAAAAGCTTTATATATAACCAATTTATTCTGTCTTTCTTTTAATCATATGTACATCTTGTTAACCTTAAAATTGATTTTACTGACTCTGATAGGGACTGGCCAGTTGAGAAGTTGAAAGAAGTTAAAGTAGCTGATGCTTTGAAGCATCCCAATTGGAACATGGGAAAAAAGATTACTGTTGATTCTGCCACCTTATTCAATAAGGTATCTCAATTGTTATTTTAAGACCATTGCTCCAAATTGTTGCTTCATATATTTCAAGCTTTTATTCCATATGTGAACCATGGGAGTATGATATGAATTATTTGTCTTAGCCTGGGTTTGAAGGTCTTTCTTGTTTTCAGGGTCTTGAAGTTATCGAAGCTCACTACCTTTTCGGAGCTGAGTATGACAACATTGAAATTGTCATCCATCCCCAATCCATCATACATTCGATGGTGGAAACACAGGTAAAATCTTGTATTTTCCCTCCCTTCAGCTATGAGATTATGTCAATTATGTAATCATAGATTAATATGCTGGTGACTCCATGCTCATAAATTGACAGCTTAGGAATTCTTTTTCCTTCTGAAATTTGTAGGATTCATCAGTATTGGCACAGCTAGGGTGGCCTGATATGCGTTTGCCCATCCTTTATACTTTATCCTGGCCTGACAGAGTTTACTGTTCGGAGATTACTTGGCCTCGGCTTGATCTTTGCAAGTAAATAACATCTTTCTTTGTGAATGTATTTTATTTTGCTTATTGCGCTAAGCTCATTCGTGATCTATATTTGCTTACAACTTTGTTTATTTACTTCCAAACAAGAAACAAGCTTTAGCTTTTCCTTTCCAGTTAGTATAAATAACTCTGAGCGATGATATAGGCTCGGATCATTGACATTTAAAGCTCCTGATAATGTAAAATACCCATCCATGGATCTTGCTTACTCTGCTGGGCGCGCCGGAGGGACCATGACTGGAGTTCTAAGTGCAGCAAATGAGAAGGCAGTGGAATTATTTATTAGTGAGAGGTATGTAGTATGTATTCTTACATTCAACTTCTGTACTGGAGCATGTATATATTTCAAATATTTGTTTTGCTAATAATTTAAGATTCAGTATGGCACCTGCTGCTGGTAGTTATAGTGACATCATCTTTTGTTGGGGTTGTCAATTAATTCGTCAAGGGATGCGAGGTCATTGCATCTCTAATAGTTAAGCCGCATGTACTAAATTCTTGATATTTATCTGCAGTCCTTCCAAATAAATGATCGTTTTTAAATCTACCAATAGCTTAGGTTGCCTTTGGTGTCCCATAGTGTTGAAGCTAAGTAATCTTGTTTGACTATAGAATATTAAACACTTAGGTTTCCCTTGTACTTGCTGCATAGATCTATTCTTTCTCATTGGACGTAAATTCAGAGTTATCGATAAATATCAAAATGTAGCCTATTCTTCTCATTTTCCTGTTACTGTCTGACTGGCAGAATATATATGTTTAAGATGTATGTGAGTGGCAGAATATGCTCTGCTACTATTAGATCTTAGCATCATCATGTCTTGATTTTCTTACAAATGACCCACCGGGTGATCATTTAACTGATGCATTGTCCTTGTATCAGAATTAGCTACTTGGATATTTTCAAGATTGTGGAGTTAACATGCGCGAAGCACCGGGAAGAGTTGGTGTCTTCTCCATCGCTGGAGGAAATTATACATTACGATTTGTGGGCTCGAGACTACGCAGCCAGTTTGGAACCATCATCTGGTTTGAGTCCAGCTCTTGTATGATTTGTTTCTTCGGTTAGCACCCAACATGTTTACCCAGTAAAAGGAAATTGTTAAAAGGGTGGGGGAATATGCAAATATGTATGTGTAATATGATTAGGTTACATGTACTACATCATCACCCTTTTTGAGTAAATTCATTCCTTTTTTGATATCTTATATATATTTCTTCCCCTTCCACTTAAGCTATACATATAAAACTCATTTATTAATTTAATTTTTTTTTGTTTAAAATATCAATTCCTGGATTCCCTTAGTTAGATGGACCCTTGCGACAATACACTCAAATTGTTTACCACAGTACAAAAAAAAATAGTTTTCGCTCTCACCAATCAACAGGTTCCGCATTCACAATGAGAAGCTCAATTCTATTTACTTTACAGATGATCTGACCTGGGCTTACTATATTAATAAAGAACTTTAGAATAGTAATTATAACTCTCAAACTAGTACAATACAATGAAAATATTGAAACTGCGAGTAACTAATGGATAGAGATAAGAATGGGATGAGAAGTTTAGACTTTAGATAGACAAACAGTTTCTTCACCAAGATGCATAATCCTCCAAAACGACATATGACAACCATTTAAACTATACTTAACCTGGATCCCAAGAAAACTAGTATTGAGCTATCTAATTTTCGTGGGTTAGCCTCACGCCCAATTAACTCGGTGGTGAAGGGTTCGAAAATTTATCTTAAGGGTTCAATTTCGTGCGACAATAGTTTCCTAACTGAGATGGGCTCATTTGGGATCAAAATCTCAGCCCAGTAAAAAACTCATTTTTTTAATCGAAATTTTATTACTTAAATAAATCTCGTAGTGTTTACAAAAATTTCCTGAAATATGAGTCATCCGTAAACATCCCAATATCACTAGTTCTTGAACACAATGTCGCATGTGTATTTCATGTTAAATAGTATATAAATACTTTAATTCAAAGAATTTGAATTAAATTTTAGCCTCATATATATACAACTTTTTTATAGACAATTAAATTATAGAAATCTAAAAAGAGAGAAAATACACACATACACAAACAAAAAATAATAATAATAAAAAATCAAGATAAATTATCTTCGATAATGGGAAAATTCATTTTGTTGGTAAGTTATAACTTTTCTTTAAAAAATTGTATTATTTTTATTAGTTTTACTGATAAAAAATCTTTCATTTTTATAAATAAGAAATTTAACATTATCATTTTATCTTCTTTTTTTTTTGGTAAGTGAACAAGAAATGCTAATTAATCCTCCGTCATAACAAGTAAAAATAATCTAAAATAATTATTAATAGTGATATTAGGGTGTGTTCTGTAGGAAGATAAATATTTTTTAAAAAATAAGTGAGTTTTTTACTTTGTGTTTAGTACATAACAATATACCATATTATTTTAAAATTATTTATATATAATCTAGACAAATACTACAAAATGTGAGAATCGATATAAGTGTGGGAGGTGGAGAGGATGGGAATAACAAGGGTGTTGTGGACGTGGGTTGAAAATGAGATGGTGATCATGGAGGTTGAGGTGCATTTGAGTTAAAAATATAAACAAATTTAAAGTTAAATTCAAACTTCAAATTTAATGCTATTTTTTTTAATGTGATTGATTTTCGTAGTAATTTTTTGTATTATATAGCTAATCGATAAACTTTTTATGTTTTTATTATATATAGATCATCACTCATGCAATAATTCATAGTATAGAGTTAGCCAGTGTATTTTCACTACTAAAAGCGAATTACTCATTTTTTTCTTAAATAAAAAAATGTAGATTGAGATCACTCATGACACAATGCCGGGTTAATTGATAATAAACCAAATAATTTTTTTATTTACTTGTTCAAACTTTAAACACTAATAACAATTCTTCTTTGACTATTCCAACAACCTAAAAATTTCTCACACAGACGAAATCCAGAATTCTAAAAATGAAAAATTAAAAATAATATACCAATTAAAGATTATAATTTTAAAAAAACCCTTTTTTTTTTGAATAATAAAACAAAGAAACACAGCCAACTCTCATTAATTTAAATCACGTAGAAAAGAAACCACACACAACAGCGCAGCCAATTTCTACAACACCACACATACAAAAGTATTCCCTCTTACGTGTGGACTTTAGATCATATTACGTATAAACCAAGTAAAGAACTGTTCAAGTGTGTACACATACATCACTCTCTCTTCGTTTCATATTATTTGTAAAAAAAAATAATTAAAAATATATTTTATTAAATTAGTTTTACTATAATATTTTAAAATAACAACTATGAATACTAATATAATCATTTGATAATATAAAATAAAATATTTAATTTTGATATAGACGAAATACCTACATTATAACGTTGACACCTCAAAAAGTCAAAAGTCAATAATTCCAATTTTCCACCGATTGTTTGGTATATACGATGTAAAGCTCAACAACTTATTGTACACCTTGCCTCACCTAATCATTATCCCTTTTCCCATTTGATTTTCCGTTTCGTATTAGTAGCCTTTATAATCTCAAACCGACGCCCGCACTTTCCACCTTTTATACCAAACTAACAAACAAACGCTCTCTCTCTCTCTCTAGATTTTTGTGTTTGGGAATCAGTGAGTTTGTTGGAGAAATGCAGGCGAGGTGGGAGTCATCACAGTCTCCGAGTTTCAATAGTTACTCTAATAAGAATTTGGCTGAAATTGCTGATAGAGTAGTACAAGAGTTCAGGGCTGAAAATGGAACAGATGAGGAGTTTTTTATTGATGATGATGGAGGTTTGAGTTGTTTTGAGAGTGGAGGAACATTGGATGAGAAGGAGGAGGAACAAGGAAATGAAGATGAAGATGAATTTGAGTTTTCATTTGTAAAACAGTCTGAAATTTCACCTGTTGCGGCTGATGAGATTTTTTATAATGGACAGATCCGTCCGATATATCCGCTTTTCAATAGGGATTTGTTGTCGGATTTCATGAATGGTAGATCTAAATCGAATTCGACGTCGGAGGAGATTTCTTCTGCTCGACCGAAATCGATTAGGCTTCCGTTACGGAAGCTTTTCATGGAAGAAGAGCGAGAAGGTAACTTTTCGTGCTCATCATCGGAAGCTGATGATCTGGAAGGGATTCCTGAGGGAACGTACTGCACGTGGACGCCTAAACCGGAGGAAAAATCTGCCGGAAGTTGTAAGAAGAGCAGTTCCACAGGCTCCTCAAAACGGTGGAAGTTTCGTGACCTTCTTTACCGGAGCAATAGCGAAGGTAAGGATACTTTCGTCTTTTTGACTCATTCGTGCAGAAAGAAGGAAAACAAAGCAGAGAAGACAACGATTGATAATGCAGCAAAGGTTACCGCAAAATCAAAGGGAATTCCGGTGGCTGATGGTTGTCCGGCGATGCATTACGTGAAAAACGGAGGCGGCGAGAAAAGGAAAACCTACTTACCGTACAGGCAAGATCTAGTCGGGTTTTTTGCTACGAGTCGGAATGTAATGCCATTGTGATGTGAATACGTGATTAATTAATTAAGCTCCTTATTAATTATGATTACGTAGTTGATTTGCTGGTTTTGGAGTGATTTAGATTGATTAAATTAGAAAGTAAATGATGATTAGATCATGAATCGATTGTCTGTAAATATCTGGATAAGTTTTATCGTTATCCTAGTTGATGAATTATGAATGAAATTTTCGTACCGGTATTATTTCTTAATTCCATTTAATAATAATCTTGAGACTCAAAGAAGCTCTGATTTTTATTTTCGACTCAAATTTATAATTTTAAGATCAAAAGCGAGGATTCTTACATTCAAATAACTCTTTTTTTTTTGTCAGTATTCGTGTTCTACTCTTTCGAAAAATCAATGCAGTTTCTCGAAGGGATTGAATTGTCTAACCTTTCAGATAATTCCCTCATTGCCAAGCAAAACATAAATTAATAATCAGTGTAGGGCATATGAATTCATGATCGTGAGAGCAAGAAAGAAGGAAAAACTACGTGTGTTACTAATATTTATGCAAGTTGTTGTGGACCTTAAAATTATGGCATATATAGGTTAGACATTTTATGTGGTGATAAATCGTGTTTAAGTAACTCTATCACGTGGAAAAGACTTCCATCCAATCTTATATCAAATGTTCAATCAATTATTGCTATTCTATAATGCAGAATTCATATTCGTATTAGTTAAAATAGTATGCTTATATATATACACATGAAGTCTTATATATATACACATGAAGTCTTAGATTCAAGTCTGATCTGTTTGGACCTTACGACATATAAGCATCCACGTGAACGTATCCCATGCTGATGTACTTGGATTACCACAATCTATGGAGCTTGTATATAAAAATTAATTTAATTTGATATACCGGAAATAACAATTCATTACTATTCGTTCCATATTAGTTATTTACATTACTAGAAATAGTTCTTTCAATTTATAAAATAATAGAATTGGATTTATTAATCTTTTTGAAAGTGTAAATAAGTTCATAAAGTTGTAGTACAAGAAAACTATGAATTATATGAAAAATTTTCTGGGAACTAGTATAAAAATTTGGATGAAAATAAATTTTCCTACAAATTTCATACTAATTCTCAATTCTCAAGAAAACTCTGAGGTAATTCACACTAAAGTTCAAATAGAATTCAGTTAATCAAAATCAGTGAAACTATCCTTTCTATTTGTACTTCTCCTTTCACTTTTACTCGTTACATTTTGACTTGACTCATTCATTAAAAATTAATTATTAATATAAATATATTATTTACTTTCACTTTTACTTGTTACACTTTGACTTATCCTCTATTAAATGATGTTTTGAAAAATAAGTTTTTAATGATAAAAATAAAATATGGAAAAAAATTAATAGCTTTTTTTTATAAGCTAAAATTGACAAGTAAAATAAAATCTATTTTAGAAATAAGTGACGATTTAAACTAAATAGAAGGAGTGCTAAGGAAAGGAGAGAGTTAATAACCAAATAATCAATGTGAACAACCAAAAGAATGTCATTGATGATTGCAGATTAGAATGTCGGAGGCTTATGTTAATTACTGTGATTAATGATACTAATATTTGGTCATCAACTACCCAATCAATGTAAGATTTCTTGCAAGCAAGGTAAAGCTTTTCTTAATTAATGATTTTTTTATTA